ATGCGACGTGTATGAGACGAAGAAGTTTTGGGAAAGTAGATATTGAAAAATGAACATTGGAATTGCTCAGAATGTATTTTATTTTACCTGTTATTTAATACACCTCATTTGCGCAACGTATGACGAATAATTTTATCGTACTGATAATTTATGTTTTGTCTACGATTATCAAGGTAATCTTCACGATAAATTAAATATATCCTACAATACGATGTACGTGGGAAAGAATATCCTGTACGAAAATCCATAGACCCCTTTACACTGATTGACAACGACTGTTATTAAAAGAATCCATATTAAACAAGCCATTCATAAAATGTTGAAAATCTAGGATAGTAATCTTCTTTAAGGGATAATCACTTAAAATTCGACGTCAAGTTAGTAAGTATCATTGTTAGCTAAAGGCAACAGAACTATATACTTAAGGATCTGATGCCAGAGTGACGTAAAGTTAGACCATCGCTACCAAGTTACCATTACCATAGTCGAAGCGAACAACACAATGGGAACTTATTATACACATCTAGTAAGGATAAAAATAATACTGCCACATCCATACGTCTCTGTAGAGCTTTGATGCTTCCAACCATGGCCTATTGTTATAAACAATTGTTGTTAAAACTACATAAGATCTAGATGAGGATTCATCAGGAATAATTTTAGTTAAGGCTGACAAGGACAATGTACAGACTGACAATGATCTATTGTTACCAAAATATGTAAAGATCGCAACCACTTTAAGACTGTTAATTAGGAATTTTTATAATTAGTCTCAGTCGTCAATAAAATTGTTGATCAGATTCCTCTTTTTTGTAAAAATTCATGAGTCAAGTTAAAAATAAAACGAGTGTTTGTTGTTAAACCTTGGTATTAAGTATTACATTAACATTTAACACCGATAATAAATTTTTTATTACAGTTAAACATACGTAATCACAAATGACATTAATTGTATTTTTTAGATATTTAACGTTTATCGAACAGAAATGGAATTCCACCTACAAAAAATCAATACATCTTGAAATTTATCATATGCTCAGAGCGAAGCGAATATTTCCTCAATACGAAGCTTCATAATGCACCTATGCAAGTGGGCACATAGGTGTACAAATGCAGTACAAGGTCTCGCAGTCAGTTAATAAATCGACTCCATCATCGCGCTTTAGCGCACGGCATCAGCTAGAACAGCAGTTCTTTCATACCAGGACAACTCCATGTACACAAACTCATGCCCGTATGCTCTCACGTGTAACTCCCTCTCTCTCTATCTCTTTCTGTTTTTCTCGTCGATGGATCGGATTAGACTCACCGTTGCTCGGCCAGCGCGTATGGGTATACCTAATTCGTCTTGCTCCTTATTTTTAGCCTCGCTCAGCTGCGCCTTCCTTCTTGTCGTTCATCAGGACCTCCCTTAATCTCGGAGCGACCTCTTTACCACTCGATTAATCCCTCTCCACCTCTTTTTCTTTTTGGCGATTTTTTTTTTTTTTTTTTTTTTTCTTGCACACTTTTCCATCATCGATGTGGCTTAGGCTGGGCCATTTGTGGGGGAAGGGAGATCAGCTGACCACAAAAATCATCCTTTCTACCGTTTTCCTCTGTGCATGTAAGACCCGATGTGTTTGATGAATAATGACGAACGCGGCTCTTGAAGCTTTTCCTCTCTCTCTCTCTCCTTTGAAGCTGAGCATTCCTGATTAATCCGCCCGTTTTGTGGACTAACGATCGGCATTAATCCAAAGTTAAATGCGATTTTCTTCCATACATGTGTGCAATATATACCAATGTAACAGAAGATGATGGGAATTAGGAGCGATTGAGAACTCTAATGTGGCTCTAATGCAGCAGCTTTTGCTCAAGATATACATAAATTCTGTACGCTGGTACAGCTACTCTTAAAAATGCACAATACACAAGGATTGATACTACACACTTAGAGTCTTTATATCTTTTTTTTTTTTTTTTTTTTTTTTTTTTTTTTTTTTTTTTTTTGTTTTTTTTTTTGGATTTTCTTTATTTCGAATGTTATTAAGGATGTCGCTTTTTTTTCATTAATTTCACAGTACTAAAATGTATTTGTTTCCCTCTAGGAAGCAGAATATCCAGAATTTTACACGCCGCGGTTATTAAATTAATGCTCTCAAATATAAATTTAGCTCTTGATATGAATTTCTACCTAGTGTTGAGTATAAGTATGTCTCAACTACCGGTGTAAAAATAGAATATATGCGTATTCTTAATTAAGCTAGTCATTACAATCAGATCTTCATTTTTTTAATCAATTTGCAACTTTTTTTTTTGTAAGGATCAAATTATACCTACAATGCATATGCACAGAGTATACACTTATTCTTGATTTTACGTTCACTTTAGCATGAATTATTCAATATGCTTAATCATATATTATGTGCTCCCTGAACTGTGCATTCCATCTATCTATGGGTATATTTATTCACACTAAGTCTAAATAAATTCGCAGGGTAAAAGCTTTATCATCCACATTTCGTTTAAATAAAATTTTTTAGTAAACCACGTATATACTAACGATTTCTATTATACTGTCACACGTATCGATATCAATAATAAGATTAATCAAGTCTGTAAATTATTTCAATAAATGAATAACTATTTTTTAGTCAATGAGAACCAACAGTAAAATATAACGTAGATACAAAGTTCAAGGTTATATTCCACTAGATATCAAACACTAGAAAGCGTTGAACACGAGAAGCTGCAGAAGTAAAATTAGTTCAATGAAATTGTGCTAAAAAAAAGAAAGATTCAAAAATGATTGGCAGATAAACAAAAATCAGCAATTCATAAAACACAAGATTAAGGTTTCAGTGAAAGTAAATTTTCCAAAAAGGTTATATGACTGGCCAGCCCAGAAAAATAAGCTAAAAATGAGTTCAAGGAAAAGATCAAGATTCTACTAAAGTAATTTTTACTAAAAATAGTCCGAAAAGGAAAAAGAGACAAATTCAAACAGAGGAACGAGATTAGCAAAATGAAACTAAGGTATAAAGGTGTAAGATTCAAAAAGTTTCAAATTTAAAAAGGGTACTTGGTGAAAATGGAATAAAAAATATCAGAAATTTTTTTTAAAAACTTGGGTTGGACGGAGGGACATAAAAAGATTATTAATTAAATTATTGAAAAATACTGTCAAGATGAATAAGAAAAAGATAAGACTAATGCCAAAGTCCTCTTTAAGTGTCTGCGTTCTTAGTGTTATCAATGTTCAAAGTAGAGGCTAAAAGAGACATAAAAACGAATATGTGTTACAAAAAATATAAGTAATACATTAAAGCCAAAGTTAAGTATGAAGAACAAATTATTTAAACTTATGATACTTTGGCCTACAGTAATATGTAATCTAATTAAAGTTTTTTACTTTTAAAAACGCCTTTACTTTTAAACTTTTCAGAAATTGAGTGATTCAGTAGCAAATAAAAATACAAAAGAATGAAAATAAAAATTTATTACACTATTGTTTAAAATAAAGAAAACCCTCAAATATGACTTACATAGTTAAAATAAAATGAGTTTTATTATTCATCAAAATGATGACTAATCATATCTGATATACTTTTATTTAACTAATTATACATGTAATTTTCTTAATAAAAGACTACTNAATATTTATTTAGATTTTTAACCAATCAATGAGCCTGGGAGTGAAATAATTATACGTTCACGCGTCTAAATATAGAAACAAAGTGCGCCAAAAAGAACAAGCGATGCAAGAAGCTACGCCACTCGAGACGCCACAGCACACAAACACGTTCCTCCACGTAAGTTTCAGGAATGGCACCGAGCAAGCTACTCACTTCTCCTTCTTTTTGTTTCGTTCGTTACTCAGGGCGCGTCGTTGCGGAACCTTTTCCAAAGTAACCGTCGAAGTGTGCATGCTTAATGACATTTGCACGTTCTTTCTGCGTAAATCGTTTCTCTTGACCATCAATTAACTAGCAATTAACTGTCTTGTATAGAAAAAAAATAAAAATAAAAAAATAACGAAATCTAGCGTTGAGGAGATTTATTTACCTGACTGGCGCCTTTGGAAAGAATAAGAATTCTTATCATGATTTATTTACCTCGCTCGTGTCATGCAAACACTGTACAGTTTGTTGATTTGATGATAATAAATATTTGTTGAAATAGTTGTCCATTTTTTGCATTTTTGAACCAATTAAATCTAGTGATAATTATAATTTTAACATAATCATATCGTTGCTTTAATTAAATATACATTACAATAAGGAAACTAATGTAACTTAATCTCCAAGACTATTTTGTCATATGTATCCATGTTTTAAAATCATATGAAATAAAATGATACTTCTTTGTGTTATGTGGAACTTTATAATGAGATTTAACATACATTACGTTATAAATTACTGATGATGGTCTTTTTTTTAACAGCACTTTGGGTGTAGTAAAAAATTTTGACAATCAAAAGCACTACCTTATATTTGTGTCAAGAGCACTTACGTTACGACAAACGGCTTCATCTTTTGGCTTTGGCTTATTCTCCAAGTAAACAAACTCTGTGTGGCATTGGAGGAGGTAATCTAGAGCTTATCTAACAAAAAATTTTTTTTTCACACAAAAGAAATAAATCAGTGGTATTTTTTGTGATTTCCATTTAACAGGAAACATGATAAGCGCACTCAACGGAGTTTCAAGCCTGAGTCTCCTTTAAACTGATAAATTGTTATACTACATTATCAGAATTTTAAAAAACTATGAATTAACATGCATACATGAGCATTGAAATAAAATTGTATTATGATTGTGACACAGAATACTCTAACGTATAATACTCTACAAGTAAACTTCAGTATGTTTCAAGTCAGAAACGTAGAACCGTCAGCTAATAGTACAATTATTGTTGCTCTACAATAAACTTGTACTCCAAATTATTCTTGGTTACATTTATTTAATTGACTAATTGTTAATTACAATAATGAAAACTGGCATTGTGAGAAATTAATGTTTTATTTTATTATTTAATACATAGATTGTGAAACTTACACTAACCAATACTAAAATTATAATTATCTTCTGGTGATCAATGATCCATCGATGATGATGTTCTTCCTAAAGCCTGTGAATCTCTCTTGCGATAAGCGTGGCTAAAGCTTGATGACAAACCGATATCGATGAGCGCGAGAAAGTGAAACTCCAAGAAAACTGTACTTAACGGTGGTGACAGAGTATCACTGATTTACCGAAACACGCAATACATACAATCACACACAAGTTCATACGTATCATCGCCACAAGTGCACGCGGCTTCTATTCTCACGAACACCAGCAGAACAGCTTATTAATGCTCTCGAGGGCGCATCGTTGGGCGCATCTGCTTGAGTATGCTACGCATGTATATAAATTTCGTACTTTATCACGTGCCATGCGGGTGTCTTGCTGGCTTGCTTTACGACTACCTGCCACTGCTGCCGCGTCTGGTAGTAGCAGCAGTAGGTACGTCATAAATACGCGTCGAGACTTGGGTTTTAAATTCTCAGACCTCTTTGGTAAGGACCAAAGAGTGACGGATAAGTAAATAAAGGACGTAAACCACAGCGAATGCGAGGAACTTACTCTGGTCTTAAACTGGAAGAATCTTTGAAAACCAACGTTGTTACGGTGTAACAATTGACTTTGAAAACAATTTCGAACCAAACAAGTCTTGCACGAAAACTCACTTTTAAGAATTTATTACTTAAATGATCTACGACTGAGAAACATTTTTTTTTTAAACTATTGATACATCAATAACTAAGTTATACTAAAAAACCAGTTTTAACATTTTTTATGAATTTGTTATATCTCTTGAACTTATTGAATTTCAGATCTTATGAGGTGTACAATGAAACGTGATTTCTGTTATTTTTGGGAATCAGAAACATTCTCTCAAAATTTTGTCAAGATCCACTATCCATTTAGGAGTTCTCTTTGTTAATTAAGTCAAGCTATGTACTAAATTTTTAAGTTACATAAACACTTGCAAAATTAACAATGTTAATATGAACACTTAATTTAATACATGTTATTTCACATGGAGAATTAAAAATGTTTCAACACCCTCCAACTACTTTCGATGACCGTGATTGGTGAACATCAGTTCTATTTCTTTGAGTGATTTATTTTTGGTGTCGGGAAGAATTTTATAGAGGACAACTGTACCACATGCCGTTATGCATCCAAAGAGTAAAAATGTTCCCCAAATTTGTAGTAGTGAGATTAATTTGAAATTGCTTTTCACAACGACGAAAAATAAAATGTAGTAATAACTGGTGGAGAGACCCACGCCGATTTCTTTGTGGTCTGGTGAAAAAAATTCACTCAAGAAATTCCATGGCAAAGAAGTTAAGCCCATGATGACAGATACTTCGTAACTAAATAGTAGAACCAAAGAAAAGTACGGTCTCCAAATTTCGAATACTATGGATAAAGACAGCCCAATGAGGAAAACGGAGCAACTGAAAGCTGAGCACAACGTCAACATTCGCGCACTATACACTCTCATGCACAACGTTAAAACAATCGAGGACAGAAGACGGAGTACATCCAAAATTAAAGTCGCCTTGTAAGCATCACTTTCACCGACTATTTCAGTGATCATGGTTATGCAATAAAACGTCACCGCACCAACGCCACTCAATTGTAACACGGTAAACAACGCCATTATAATGCCACAAGGCTTTAAAAACGTAGACGAAAAAAATTGTTTTATCCACATCGGCTTTTTTCCATCAATCTTTTCTTGGCTCGTCCACTCTTCTTGTACATCGACGTACATGGACTCCAGCTCATCGAATTCACGGTTGCCTCGCAAAAACGTCCAAGAGTGGATGGCATCGACAAATCTACCTCTATGTAATAACCACACTGGACTTTCTGGTAAGATACAGCACATGCCCAGAGCAATAACCGCCACAAGGCCACAAAATAGGGCAGTTGTTCTCCAATGGTACCACACCCCAACAGCATGACAGGACAATATTCCAAGGCTGAATGAAATACCTTGCATGGCATTGAATATGGGCCGTACCTTTGGTGACGAGCATTCACCTTGATAGATCGACGTCAAACCTGCCAAAATGCCGGTACTCAAGCTCATGGCACTTCTACTGACCATCAAATCACACGCGTTATCCGCAAAGACAATCACGAACCAGGCCACTGTAAACATTGTGGTGGACGCTATCAAAACTGGCTTTCGACCGATACTTTTTCCAATAGCCGCCAGGATCCAACAACTCGGGGAGTTAAATAGTACCAAAACTGAGGCTATCCAAGACTGCATGTCCTTTGACTCGATTACCAATTCCGGTCTGTTGAATATTTCACCGTTTTCAATTCTGATACCCTTCGATGTCATCGTAGTCGACAAATTTGTTTGTTGTGGAGAAATCGGATTTATTTGTTGCAGTAAAATGGCAGTGTGGCCATGCGACATGCCTATTAGCATGATGACCAAAGAAAAACTTGCTGACACAACCCATTGTCGGAAGTATGATTTGGACTTGCTGCAGTTTTCAACACCAGGTATGGTATTTACATTGTCTATCAGCAGCATGAGATTTTCCATTGTTACCTAGAAAAGTACTACATAAAATTCTGCAACTTCTTCATTCGTCAAAGAAACAGTTTGAATAAAAATGTAAAATATAAATCGGATGATTGATTTCATCGATTGAATAGACTTACACTTACCTATTGTCTTTTGTCTTGTTCATACTAGGACGAGCCTATGCTACGTGGACGGAATACAACTAAGTAACGTCAACTTTTACTTATCATTACTGCCTCATTTAAAAGTGATGATAATGTTTTTACGACTGGAACGGTTACTAGCGATAACACCCACTCTTCCTCAGTTTTATCGTATTATACGTAGATAATGTGGACTTTCTCAAATACACAGTCTACGCCTGTTGAGAAGGATCAAACACTTAAAGCCGTATTTTGTTGGGAAATTTTTATTTCGTCACTGTCTTATCAATAAAACTATATCTCACATTTTACGTTTATTTGAGCAAATTTAATTCATTACACTACACATTTAATCCACAAACACAACCTTGCACGTACTCTCTCCGACTGCCCTCTACTTGCATTCCTATAGTTACAACTGGTAATAATTTCTATCCAATTATGATTTATATTGTTCCTACACCTAGTTGCGTATGCACTGTAGTTCGTCGAGCTACACATTGCACATTTTCTATTAATGTTTTGCTATACTATAGAAATTTTTATTCGGAAATGACTTATTTATGAAATACCAGCGTTGTTATCGCTATCTAATAGGTACGTATGATGCGTGATCCGACAACATACTGGAGCTTACCTTCTTAGCCGATTAACTTGCAGGTGATAAAGCCGCACATCTATAATGCAGTATGTATGTGACCACTTGAAAACGTATATTAATCGTCAGTTGTTTCGCTGTTAGAACTGACTATGTTAGTAAGTATATCATATTTTTATAAGTTTTAATTTTTACTAGTGCTTTTCTGATGATGTACATGTTTTACTGTAGATGTACATGTATTATAGTATTAACGAATGAACCTGAAGATATCAATCTGCTCGTTGCCCTTGTGTTATTGTGTATTAAAGCTACTATGACTTGAATTGTCACTGCAATCATTATTTTGCCCTTATCACTAATATCAATGGTTGTACATAAATTTTTTTATTTCACGTTATTAATATTTTTTAACATAAATGATTATTATTTTTCAAATATTTAGAGTTAGAATAAGATGACATAAAATTTATTTTAAATATTGAAATCAGGTGTCGTGACTGCATTGTGTTTTTACAGGCACTGGAACTAAAGTTTCATTAAATGTTTCGTTTGATATTAAATTAAGAGTTTCATGTTATCAAATTTTCTTTTTTATTCAATCGAAATTTATGAACAAGTTTAACAAAAATTAAATGTTTGAAAATTGTGCAAACACAATAAAGTAAATTTTAGTTATTTGAAATTAAAATCTTGACTAGTAAATCAATCTTCTCTGTACTTACTTGCGGTTACTTGCATAACCTACTAAGTACTCGATATATTTTAATATTTTGATGTACGATTGGTACATATGATGTACTATAAAAGTGCCTCAAATAGTCGTATGGAATTTCACATTTAACCTCCGATACCTAATCATTCAAGTACCATTATAATCCCGTATCTCAGCTAACTACTTAGTATGTTAGTGAAATTTTTTTAGAAAAACGGTGGTACTTGAGGAACCCGCACACATGAGATTATCCACAACAAAAAGGAAAGCCCGTGTGAATGTAATTTGCAAAAATCTTTGTTTCTTCGTCAAACCGTATTGATATGTAAAACAATCGCTTAAAACTCTTACCAATGTTCACGAAAAACAAAACTCGATTCGTCTGTATCAATTTAATCGATCATTATCGAACACTACTGAATGGATTTTAAAGTCAACTCAAGTATCCATTAACATCATCTATAAAACCACAGAACGAATCGACAGAATTGTTGGTCAATTAAATTATATGACGACAAACCAAGGGCATGGGAAAATACCCTCGCCGACAGTCGGAAAAGCTGCTTGACGTAGCGGAAAAAAGTCTCAAAAACATCCCATACACGAGAACTACCATTCCGGTGCCGTAGGGAGCCAAAGATAGCGAAAAATAATTGAAATTTTCATCTTGTCGTATCAGTATACAGCACTTGGCATTCCTCTAACGACACACACACGCACACATATGCGAATGATTACGTGTGTACTGAGAGAAGACAGCGGCAAAAGCCGCGTCGCATCGACATTGAAAATCGCCGGTCCTCTATACCCACCGAACGGAATGCCTATCGTTGCAATGCGTCGATTCATCAATCTCAGCTCTCTGCGCGTGTATAGTATATATGTGTGTGCATGCGTATACGTAAACACAGCTTACACGTAGCTTACTAGCAGCGATGCTCCCTTGGACTTCCTCATCCCGTTCCGCGAAAGCACCTCCTTCTCCTTTCGGTGCACCTTCTCCTTGTATGTACGAGCGTCAGCAACGCAGCGCGGCCAGAACATACTCGGACCGCGAGTGTAACCCGTGTAAAGCTCGCCTGTATAGGCGTCATTACGAGAAACACGGGGCTGAAGCCGCTCCTTCCTTCGACCCCCCCGTGTAATGTGTACCCCTTCCTCTTTGAAAAATTGCTACAAAAATTTTTTACCCCCAGTATTCAATCATTCAATGTGTGCTGTATACACTACGCCAAATGATGATGATGATGGTATACGCACCAAGTTCCGGACTCATATTATGCGCGACTTCAGTTCAAAGCTTCAGGTTAGATGTGTATGAACAGCTACGCTCTCATGTGCTTTAACGACTAGTTTAGGTATATGTACACGGCAAAGTTGTACATAATCTAATGTGCTTTTGTAATAACGGTACGGCCAGTCCAGGAAGTGTATTCACTATAGTATCAAAATCTCGATCAAAATTAGGTAAATTGGAGCAGCAGATTTTTAATGATAGATCGAATTTTGCGAACCACCTATCAAATTAATGATAAATAAAATCGTTGGTACCTAAGACGATGCAACCGGACTACGTGTAGTTTCGGTTTGTGAAGTATGAAATTCATGACGCTGATAAAAAATACTCATGTGACAAGAGCATCTTTTACATTACAATAATTGTGAACAAGATTAACCTTTGGTATTTTGTTGTACTGTTTTGTATCCCACGAAGATTCATTTTTGAGATTTCTTATTATTTTTAAAAGACTCATAGTTATAAGATAATAAAAATTGCTGGCAAGTCTCGATAATTTATTTTGACTGGCACGCGTTTAATCATTTATATTGTACATCAATGATTTATTGTTTTTAAATGTGTTCATTATCGACAGCTAACAACTAACTTCATGGTATCATTATTCAGAATACAGTCGACACTTTTTTCGGTGATTAAGGTTTTCTCAAAAGCTCAACACACACTTTTGGCTCAGTTTCAAGTCTCCAATGGGAAGCATGACATCTTTGGAAAAGGTTTTAGTATCAGTATTAGCAGTTTATTGATAGACAATCAGCTCATGGGTCCTATAAAGTCGAGGATTATACACAGTGTCAATAATTAGCTATAAGCTGACAAACAAGTCCTAGACTTACAGAAAAAAATAAACATAGTACATTCATCCACGATATGATCTACATTTAAAATAGAACAGAGAAAACAATAAAAAAAACTTTTTTTTAATTGCAAAAAAAAATCTATTTTCAAAAGACTATTCATTTAGTAGTGAAATTGTAGATTATTTAGAAACAACTACAGTTAAAATTTCATAGATTTGAAGAAAACACGAAACAATAATCAATTGGTGTACGAGTTTACACTTGCATTTACACATACTTTAGTGCCACACGACTCAAAATAGCCTATTAATGCTATAATCTACTTTATTATCAATTTTTTTTGTAACCAAAGAAAGCCATGATATCAAAATCGAACTACTGAAACGCCTAGCATTTACGTAGGTAAAATAATGGTAGTTGATAACTTTATTCAAGAATATCCCATAAAATTTTAGGGAGCATTCGAAAGGGCATGCACATTTCTTAGATAAAAAAAAATCGTCGAATTCATACAAAATGCACTTTGAAGATTAAATTAGACTCTATGGGAAAGGATCAACGTAGCAAAAGTTCACAGACAAATTACGTTCTTTAGAAAATACAAAAAGTTAAGGTATGTCTATCGGCAATAATAGATATATCATTACCAACTGATAAATTCATTTATTAATATTTCTTTGATTAGAAATATTCCACAAATGTCAATAAAAAAATTCAGTATTTCAATAAGAGGATTATATTAAATTAAATAATTAAAGGAAGACTTCTCACTAGCTCACACAATATCCGTAATGAACGATGGGGTAACCTCTAAAATTGAATATAAGGAAGTGATAAATTTTATCTAATATAACAAGTCATAAATCCAATCCTTGGAAACCTAGGACTATTTTTACGAGAACACCAAGCAAATGTTTTTTTCAAATCTAAAAGATTGTCCGTGAGTATCATGTCAATCACTTTTTAAACAAACTTCAAACTTCTCTATGATAATTTACATGACTACTCGTATAAAAAAGAAAAAAAAAAGAATAATTTTACAATTCAGAGATTAAAGTTTGTTTGATGGCAAGTATTTAAAGATAGACTGTCATCGCACGTGCTCATATTTTTTGTGCTCCATCCAACTGATTGATGATCCTGCGTTTAAACCGTACGAAACACTTTTCCACGATAAAACACACGTACGCGCAATCAAACGTTACGTCATTTTTATCAGCTCCTTTGAACACCGCAGAAACAGCTTGCGTCACTCGATCGCATCATTCGACGTTCAAAGAAAAATTTAATAACCGGCAGCAAAAACAATTACACAAACATACACGTGCGCCTCTACAGTCTGGAATGACGCATATCTATTGTCGTAAGCAGCCGCAAATGCGATTGTAAAAAGGAAAAAAAAAGAAAGGGAACGAGAAAAAAGCATAGACACGGCACAGGTGTTTGGTCGTGAAAAAAAAAAAAAAAAAAAAAAAAGCGAGACCATAGCTACTGCCGCTACACGTACTGTGCGAATGTGGCTGATAAATCTCACAAAAGAAAGGTCACCGCGACACGGGCTTTCCTCCAACTCTCTGCCTCTTCGTTTCTTTCATCGCGTTAAAATGCAAGCGTCGATTCGCCCGCTCGTCAATGTATACACGCGCAACATTGTACTGCAACGGGACGTTATTCGCGCAAAATCGTCCATCCAGAGTGCACGTGCGTACCCTGCCTTCGACGGCTCTTTGGGCCCTCTCGTTTAAAGTGTGCCTCTGTCTCGTCAATTGAGCCATTACGACCGCATCGACGAGCATGTCCTGCGGTACTCTGGGTAAATCACACTTTGTATTATAGCGTCTCTTGTGTGTGCTGGCCATCGTGCTACTACCTGTATAGGAAAATACAAGAAATATTGCCGTTTTCGGACGTAATTTTTACCCCACTAGGAATGTAATCGCATGCCGTGACATGGAGGTGCGTATACGA